GTTACTAGAACTAAACAAGTGCCAAGGTTATTCTGAATAACTGATGGCTCATTATGATTAGCACATTTTTATGGAAGTACTAAAAGCAGCTCGTATAGGTTAAAGCTCGCTATACCATTTATTCACTCAAATACAAATGCCTATTTTGTGCCAGGCACCATGCTAGTCGTTATGTGTAGACATGTCATTCGCTTAGAACTACTAGAGTCTTACTGAGAACCCTGACACTTTGGGGTAATGATTTAAAATGGACTAAAATATTGAAGGAATGTTATATGAAAGAAACTCCAGTTGCATAGCATTTTTATCACTTGTGAAGTAAAGTAACTTATCTAATTATAAATTTGGAAGAAGGAAAAGAAAAGGCCCAAGTAGGCCAGCTCTTTCTCCCCGTTTGGGCCCACCCTATCTGTAGAGAACATTCATTCTGCTCTGTTTATATGGGGCAGGTGCTACTTTTGCAGGCGGAGGCCTATTTCCCAGCACAGTGATGTCTAGAACAATCAGTGCAAGTAGATTTCTGGAGTTCAGTGATATGAAGCTTATTGGCCTACAGATACTATAAACTATATTCTCTAATAACAGTTTTATCAGCAAATAAAAGTACTATATTTTATGTGCCAATGTCTTAGTAACCTGTGTGCAACAGAACCAAACATGCCCAGTCTTGTACCATCCTCAGAGTCACTGCTATGTTTAAGCCCACTGATGTTGTTGATAAACTAGGGGGTAACCCCCCAAAAAAAATAGATAAAAGAAAAAAGCTCCAGTGTGCAGAGTTTTCAGTATGTGTTTTTCCCGCTAGGCGAGCAGCAAGCAACTTGCTCTGAGTTAGTGCCCCCAGTGGCGTCTCCTGGGAAGGTTCTCTTGGGTCACAGTGAATTTTTTCACAAAAGCAGTTTTCACTTGAATCTCATTTTTTGTGATGGCCAATTTAAGAGAAGAGGCTGCAGCTATGAAATTTTGTTTCCTGCTTGGAGGAAAATGCCATAGAAACTGTTGTGATGTTGAACACAGCTTACATGGGTAGTGCTAAGGGAAAAAAACTCAAGTGTATGTGTGGCATTCTTGTTTCAAAAAAGGTAAAATGTTGACTGATGACAAACCTTGTTCTGGACATCATCAACTTCCCAAACAGATGAAAATGTCAACTTGTAGTGCATTTGGAGTTCATGCCACCAGACCAGACTGTTAATCAAGCTTTCCATTTAGAGATTCTGAAAAGATTGCTTAACAGTGTACAACAAAAAAAGGCCTGATTTGTGGCAGACAGGGGATTGGTTTTTGCAACCACAACAATGCACCTGCTCACACAGCAATCCATGTGCCAGTTTTTGGCAAAAAAAA